ACCCGCCCCTGCGGGGTATGCTCAAGTCTCTTCAAATTGAATTGAGGTTTCTAAAATCCAGAATCGAAGGGACTTGAAGACCTTCAAGCCCCCACATCGAGGCTTCAACAAATTGAAGACGAGCCCTGGAAGATTTCTCCAAGGTGTGCTGGCATTCAGGAAGCCATCTTGGCTTTCTTTCAGTGGCACGCTGCCAGCATTTGAACTGTGTTGCTACGGACGAGATCATGCAAGTGAGCCAGACTCACATGTGGTCAACAAGTTGACAGGCTGGAGCACTGTTGTGCTTCTTTCATGTTCTTTGTTTTATGCAGCCGCTGTGCTGTTGTTTGATCTCCGGAAAGCCATCTATTATTTCTAATGCTTCTAGATTCATGCGCGTCTTGTAGCAAAAGGTTGCAACTTCTAGTTTCTGTGGCATCCATCCAAGTTACCTGTTTCTGCAAGAGATTGAATCAATGAAGCCACGTGGTCTTTCCCATCATGAGCATGGAGGACTGGACTCTATGGCAAACGGACATAGCGAAAACTTCGATGTCTGCTGCAGCAGCTAGTTGTGGGCAGAGCACCGCCGCTTCATTGCACCGGGTCAAAGTTAATTGCTGGCATGCAGCGTTTTGCTGCAGGTGTGAACCATGGTCTGGTCCAGCGTGTATAACAGCAGGAAGACGGAGAACCACCGTCTCTAAGATGAAAAAGACCACTTCTCGGCAAGGTGCAGAGCCCCTGTGGCCAGTCGAGAAACCGGTTGCAGGACACATTGTCAGGAAAAGACAGACTGAAAGTGCTAGACTCAAGTACACAAACAATGGTGCAAGCCCACATGTCTAGCCCCGTGTCAAGATATTGCTTGCTAGGAGTGGAAGAAGCAATGTTCGAATCCGCCCATGGTACAGTAGCAGTGGAGTAGATGTGATTTCACCGATCTTGTGTTGCAAAAACAATGTACCGTGATGTTCACTTTTTCGAGATTGGAAAAAAACATTTGCCGTCTGACAGAGACGAGACCATGACTGAGACAGCAGGTGCTAAGCGTTTTTGCGCGTGTATCGTACTTCCAGTGAAGCTTCACGCAGCAAGAGCCGATCTGGGTTCGCCAACCGTGCACGATTCTGTGGGTTTGTTGGTGTCATGAAACTGGAGGCCCGTACGACAAACAGAAAAAGCTCTTGCCCCAGACGCTTGACCCTTCAAAACATGATGACTGAGACGAGGGGCAGCAGCTGGTAATAGAAGCGACCCAACCGTATGTGTACCGGCCCAAGCCGTTTGAAGCAGGGTTGATTTTCATGGTCCCTGCTTGGATTGCCCCCTCGCTATCTCTGCTTCGGGAAGGACTGCAGAGTAACTGGTGGGGCATTGCTTGCCCAGGTCACTGCCAGGGAACAGGACTGGGCTTTCTGGTGAGTGTTTTCTTTCTGGGTGTCTGCTGCGGGGCCTTATTTATTTTGGCTGTGGGTGCCTATATATATTATATTCACTGGAGGCTCCAGGTCTCTGTGCCTTGCCATCCTCAGGAAGAGCCTGCTCAGAGGGGAGGCGCCAGGTTTCGCTCGGCCCGCCTCCGCGGGTACTTGCATGCCGAGGGTACAAGTTAGGGTAGAGGGTTTCGAGGTAGTGGTTGATACGGGTGGTAGCGCGCAGACGCCTCAGGCCAAAACTTCCCCGCATTCCTCCTCCGACTCCTTTATCCTCGTCCCGGCCTCCACAGGGGCCACTCCCTTGTCGGGCTACCTGCCCTCGCTGCCGCCAGACTCCCCCCGTGTCCAAGGCGCCCCCCGTGGGAGAGAGGCAGCCCCTCTCTCCAGCGCCCCCTACACAGCCGAAGCCAGCTTCTCGTTGCCTCCTCCTTTCCCTTCCTCCTCTCAGGTGCCAGAGTACCCCTTGCAGGGCTCCTTGCGCACTGCTGTTTGCAGCCAGCCCGACGACCCTCCTGCCTACATCTTGGACTCGAGTCGTGCCCTGTCTGCCTGCGCGCCGTGCTTGGAAGGCTGGACTTTGTGCTGGTAAGGTTCTCCGAGGGGAGTGTGATTTCGTGGACGGCACCCCCCCCCCACTACGACTGCGCCTCAGGTCCTTTTGACTTTTGCCGAGTACCGAAGGGTGCCGGGCATCCTGGAGAGGGGAACATCTGTATCCCACGCCTTCTCGACCAAGACTGAGGCCAGGGCCTACTTTGCCGGTGCCGGCGTGGCCTATCCTCACTGATGGAATTTTCTGCCCTGACCCCAGCGACCGGAGGTCAGGTCGAGATCCTGGAGTTCCTGTGGCCGCCTTTGGCCGATGCCGACGGCCAGCGGGCATGCGTCTGCTATGTGCTTATGCTTCGAACAGACGGCCTCCTTTTGTGCGTGCCCGGCTCCTTCTTCAGCCCAGGCGAGCTGGCTCCCGAGGGGGACGATGGGGCGGTTCGCCCGGGCCCTTCAGTTGAACTCACTGCCCCGGCCGTTGCTCTATCCGAGGAGGGGGAGTGGATTCTCGCCCCCTCGGCCGACCCCCTTGCTGTTACTGTTGTGGACTTTCCCGCTTCAGCTGCCTCCCTGCTATCACCAGTCGAGCTCGACTCCTTTCTTGGGACGTTTTTCAGCGAGGCGGATCTTTACCCGCTGGCCGCCGATGTGCTCCGACAGGCCCGTCAGTGGATTTTGGCCGAGGGCGCGGGAGCTTCCACCGACTACCAGACCGGGGCCTCCGATCCCGGACAACCCCAGACAGAGGCCCGTTGACAGTGGCCGAAGAGACCTACCGTTGCTCTCCTTGCTCAGCAGCAGGCTTCGCTAACAGAAGTGGTCGCCCGCCTGAGCGATCAACTGGCCAAGCTTCAGCAGGCCCCTCTTACCGTGCCTGCCCCTCGCGTGGACCCAAAGCCTCAGCCTGCTCTTTCAGGGCCCGACGTGCTCCTTTGTTTTCGCATCTAGGGGCCCATGCTGTACCCTTTGAAGGGGGGCCTGTGCACGAGAGACCGGGGCCTTCAACCGAGGCGGCCCCCAATGTTCGGCTCCCGCCTTTCCTCTGGCTCATGCCCTAGGCCCCCCTCCCCCGGCCCGAGCCCTGGTGTCAGCCCAAGGACCGGCCGATGTGGATCAAGATGCTCGGCTGGCGGCCGCCATTACCGCAGGCGAGCTGCCCGACGTGCAAGTGCAGCCCGACCAAACCTCGGCAATGATGGCTCAGAGCCAGGCCTTGTTGACTTTGGTGGGCCATCTCGCCCAAGGGGCAGACCCGGTGCTAGACTCGCAAGGCACAGCCACCTCATCGTCCCGGGGCTCCCAGACCAGGCAGAGGCTGCAGGCCGAGCTCGCTTCACACTCAGGAGCCTTTGCCGAGAAGGTGAAAGAGAAGGCACTCCTCAGGATGTCCCCCGCGGGGGTGGGCTCCACCGAGCCTTTCTCGCTATGCCGCTACTACGAGCGGTATGGCGGGTTCGACAAGCACAAGGACCTGGCTTCGTGGCAGGTGGCGATCGCCTTCGATCTGCTGGTGGCGGGGAACAGCAACGGAGGATGTCCTGGCCCTCCTGGCGGTCTATCTAGACCAACTGGTGCTAGACCAAGGGGCCTCTACAGTGGCGTGGCTTTTGACCCTGCAGCAAGACCCCCCACAAGTGCTCTACAGTGCTCCCGCGCAGGCTCCGGGGACTGGTGTCCAGCCCTTTTCCCCGCTAGCCGACCAGAAGTGGGTCACCTCGGCCCTAGGGTACCTTCGCGAGATGGACCTGATCTCCAGCCGCCGTGCTGAAGCAAAGCCCAAACCAAAGCGCCCCCCCGGCCTGCCTCCAGCCCCGCCGGCTCCAACCTCTACCTCGGAGGAGGCCGCTCTCACGAAGAAGCAGCTAAGGGCAGCCCAGTGGGCAGCAAAGCGGGCCTCGGCCGGCACTCCTCCAGCGAAGTAGACTCTGAAGGGCTTGATGCATGCGACCTGTCTTTCGACGGCGAATTCACTTTTACATCGTGGGCGGCCTCGCTCACCCGCCTGGTCCTGAAGTCTGGGACCTGTTTTGCTCACTTTCTTTCATCAAGTTTGCACCTCCTTCGGAGCGATGTGCCTTCCGCTCCCACCGCCCTGTACCCTATCCCCTCGCCGAGTGCTCTTCCGGTGGGGAGGAAAGCCCGCAAACGAGGGGGCACGAGACGGTCCAACCTGCACATGTCCCGGGCCTTACATGTGATCATTCTTGCCCTTAACTTTGTGCATGCTGGTTTCAGGCCTGTGCCCCTCGATGTTCTGCGGAGATCACCGAACTCCTTGCGCATTTCGGTGTATAGGAGGGTCAGTGGTTACCTTAGGGCGTGTTGCCGCCGGGGTGTTGCGATACCCTTTTGTGCCGGCAGGCGTGGGACTCACCTTGCTGCTCGTTTTGGTGAGCTCACTGACTTTCTACTTGCTTGTGGTGTGGGACCAGACGCCTACGACGGTGCCACCCAAGAGGTTGTTTCCAGGGGGCCCCTGGTTCCTCATGCTCCCGGCGGGCCCGACTGCTTGCGCCCCTACCGATTGTTTGAGGCCGATGGCATTGTGCTACACGGGGAGGCGAACTGGGACATTAGCCCCTACTTGCCCCCGGGCATGCTTCTCGCCTACCGCGACCCGCTTGTGTTGGAGACTTTCCCAGGCACTGGCGGCCCAGCTCCCTCCTTTCAGCACGAGGACCCGGGCGAGGTACTGAAGTTGATGAACGTCTGGGACTCGAAGGGTCTTTTGACTTTGAGACCAGGCGGCCTCCCTGACATACGGTGCTCCCGCGTCTTTGGCTCCTTCAAGAGCCCTGGGAAATTTCGCCAAATTGGGGACCGACGGGGACCCAACAGCCCAGAGGCCCGCCTAGACGGTGTGTCCCACATGCTGCCACAAGGTTTCCTGCTTACCAGGTTGCACGTGCCTCGCTTTACGCACCAGCTGCTGGGCAGCAGCACGGACAGGAAGGATTTTTACTCTCAGTGCAAAGTCCCCCTGGAGCGGGCTTTTTCCAACGCGGTGAAGCCAGAGTTTTCCCTGGCCGACTTTGCCGGCACAAGAGCCCACCAGGACTACGTGAGTTGGGTTCTCTCCGAAGCCGGGAAGGAGCACTGCCGGCGCTACCTCCCCCCTATGGACCTCTTTGGCACTTCCCTTCGGAGGCCCGCGTTGTTGAGTCCGACGGCGCCCGTGCACGTGCTTCAACTTGTTGTTTCAGGGCGACGCTGCGGGAGTGGAGCTGGCTACTGCAGCTCATGCCGCTTTTCTCGAGGAGGCCCAGGTGCTCCCCTCCTGCGAAGGCGGCCGACTGTTGGCGAAACACCCTGGTCCGGAGTTGTGATAGACGACCTGTTTTGCGTAAGCTGTGAGCCGGCCGACCTTCCCGACCCCCGAGCCTGTGACTCTGCACGTGTTGTTGACCTTGCCAAGGAGGCATATGCGAAGGCAGCCATCAAGGGGAGTGACGATAAGGACGTCTTCGGTGCCAGCGTCTTCTGCATCGCAGGGCCCGAATGCGATTCGAGCCCGGCTGCTGTGAAGGAAGGGCTAGTTACCATAGGCTCCCCCCTCCCTAAGAGGTTGGCCCTTTCCCTAGTGTCTCTCCTGACCGCCACCCGCCGCTGCGTGACTGAGGAGCTCGCCTCTATGATCACAGGGGGGTGGACTTCGGCCCTCATGTTCCGCAGGTGTGCCATGGCTGTCGCAGGCAGCATCTTTGAGCAGAGAGTCGACCGGACCACCGGGGATGAGGGGTCACCTCTTGTGAGCCTGGGCCCTTCCTCTCGACAAGAGCTTGTGCTGCTGGCTGTCTTGGCCCCGCTTTTGGCCTCCTGCGTTTCCGTGCCCTACGACCGAACGCTCTTCGCGTCGGACGCCTCACTGCGGAAGGGAGCCTACACGTACATGCGGCCCGAAACAGAGGTCATCAAGGCTATTTGGCTCTCTTCGGACGCCCGGGCTTTTTACACAAAGCTCGAGGGCCCCTTTCGGGCTACTCTTGCAGCCCTTGGCGAGGAGCCTGTGGACTGTGATGCTCCCGCGCCGCCTTCGTGCCTGGCAGCAGCCTCAGCCAAGACTCTAGAGAACTCTCTGGTTGAGAAGGGTTTTGAGACTAAAAAGGGCCTGCTCAAGGCCGCCCGCCCACTGGGTCAGAGGTTTGACTTCCTGCTCGTTGGTCCGGGCCCTGCGACTCTGGTGACTCAGCTTAGGGAAGCCGGCTTGTGCTGTGGGCCCGCCCTCGATGCTTCGACCTCCAGGCACCTCGGCTTGACTGTCCCGATGCCCTGGAGTGGGCTATGCACCTCCTTGCTCAGAACCGCATTGGGTCGCTGGCCCTCTTCCTGCCGTGTGGAGCCCTCTCTGCCTCGGCTCTTGGACCTCCTGGCCGCCGTTCTCCTGCGTGCCCTGCCCGCGTGCAGCAAGGTTTGCGTGTCGCTGCAGCCTGTTTTGCCTTGTTTTGGTTGGCGTGGAGAGTTCAAGCACCCTGCCTTTTGGTGCTCCCTGGGACTTCCCTTGCCGCTTCTTCGCCCCGCCTCGGCTTCCTCTGCAGCTTGTTTGGTGGTGTTACCCAAGCGTGCCGAGCGGCCTGCCCTTCACAAAACTGCTGCTCGGGGTCTGTGCTTTTGGTTGCCACGGGCCTCAAAACATCAGTATCTGCAACTCTGATATTTCGAATCGGGGACCTCTGGAGGCCTCCGGCCTGTCCCTCGCCTGTGTGCTGCCCCCCAGTGAGCCTCGACCTCCGGGTCACTGCCCGGTTTTCCTTGCAGCCCTCGTCGAGCTCTACACGGCAGCAGCTGCTTCAGCCCCGGAGCCTGTTCGTGCAAAGGTTGGCTTCGAGAGCCTTCTGGTCAATGACCTGCTTTCCTCTGGGACCTGGCAGGTCGGTGCCTCCTGGACTTGGCCGTGCCCTTCGGAGCACATAAATGTTGTAGAGACAAAGGCTTTCCTGGCAGTCCTACCGTGAGGGCGGTGACAAGAGATGCGTCCTCGCTCTCGGAGCGACAACGAAAGGCAGGAGTTCCGCTCGCACCCTCCGCAAGTCCCTGCTGCAGGCCTGTGCTCTCCAGTTGGGGTGTGGACTTTACCCCGCCGTTGTGTTCGGGCCGACCAGGCTAAACACCTCAGACGCCCCTACGCGAGACACTCCCTTGCCGACTCCTTCCTCACTCTCCCTCTGCAGCTGCCTCGGTCACCAAGACCTTCTTCTCGCCTCAGCTTTCCGCCAGCTCCCCCGTGCTACCGCCAACTGGCTCCGCCTAGCCTGCCTCCTTGCAGGGTTTAGGTCCCCTGCCCCCCTAAGTGGTTTCCTGCGTAGTTTGGCTAGCCCCTGGCGTCATACGGGACCCTCGGTCCTTTCCCTGCTGCTAGGCCTGGCTCGGCGCACCTTGCTAAGGACTTCGACGCTACGCTGGGCTACCCTGCTGAAGGCCCTGCTGAGCCTCGTGGGCAGCGCGACCTGGAGCGCCAGACAAGGCGCTCAGCTTCGGCCCTTCCCAGCGGCAGGCCGGTTCTGCCGACAACCCGCTCTAACCGAGCGCGCCTTTTGGGCTTGTTCGACGCCTGGCTCGCTGAGCGCGGCTCGAGCCTAAAGGCCCTGACTTCGAGGAGCCCTCTTGACCCAGCTGCCATCGGGCAGGCTTTGACGAACTACGGCCGGGACCTCTACGACGCAGGCCGGCCCTACGGGGACTACAGCGAGACGGTTAACGCCGTTGGGGCCCTTTGCCCTAGCGTGAGGAGGCAACTTCAAGGCTCCTGGGACCTGGCTTTTTCGTGGATGGCCGCTGAACCTTACACCCACCACGTGCCGATGCCGGCGGCCCTTTTGCTGGCCTTGTTGACTTGCAGCCTTTTTTGGGGATGGCTCCGAGAGGCCCCTTGCCTGGGGGAGTCTGCTCCGAATCGGAGAGACCACTTCGGTGAAGCGTGAGGATTTGGTTTTGCTTGGCGATGTTTTTGGTTTACACAACTACGTGCTTTTGAGCATAAGGGAGCCAAAGACACGACTGCGGGTGGCCCGCCACCAGGCGGCAAAACTGGAACAGAGTGACCTGGTCGCTCTAGTGTGCTTGGCCTTTGGTGACCTACCTGCTGGAGAGGCCCTCTGGCCGAGGACCAACCAGACCCTGCGAGCTAGGCTCGACAAGCTTCTGGCACGCCTGGGGGTCTACACTGCGAGGGGCCAGAGGAGCATAGACCTCGGGTCGTTTAGACCAGGAGGTGCTACGCACCTCTTGCAGGTGACAGAGGACAGTGAGCTGGTGAGAAGGAGAGGAAGGTGGGCCTCTCCAAAGGTCATGGAGATCTACCTGCAAGAGGTGTCCGCCATCCAGTTCCTCCCTCGACAACCACCAGCTGTTCGAGCGGCCATCCTCGACTATGCCAAGGCCTTCCCGCAGGTTTTTGCCAAAGCACAGCAATGGACGAGACAGAAGGTGCCGCCGTGTACTTGGTACACGCTCTTCTCCTCCGGCAGCTAGCGCTACTTACACTGGCTTGGAAGTGGTGGGATAGATGGGACTTTTTACATGGGCCGTGGGCTCTGGTTATCCCGATGACTGAGACGGTATATTCCTCAGGTGGCTGAGCCATTATTTCCCGGGAACCTGCAGCTGAAGCAGCCAGTGGAAGTCGCATTAGGAGGTGCAAAAAGAAGGGTCGGCGAGCTTCTGGTAATAGAAGCGACCCAACCGTATGTGTACCGGCCCAAGCCTTTTGAAGCACCCGCCCACCCACCCAGCTTCTGCTTGGAGGGGACTTTTTACATGGGCCGTGGGCTCTGGTTATCCCGATGACTGAGACGGTATATTCCTCAGGTGGCTGAGCCATTGTTTCCCGGGAACCTGCAGCTGAAGCAGCCAGTGGAAGAAGTCGCATTAGGAGGTGCAAAAAGAAGGGTCGGCGAGCTTCTATACAATGTTTTTTTCACATTCGTGTCGTATTTCCAAAAAGAGGCCAGTATGAGTCGATCTTGGCACAAGAAAGCCTGGCAATTACAAGGCCTATTCGCTATCCCGGCTTGCGTTGGCCTGCGCAGCTTTCTGCGCAGATGCGACACCTCACGCGCTTTGGACCTGGACATTAGTGCACGATAAAGGGCCCGTCCATTGTGCGACGGCACTGAGTGGCGGTCGGTTGGTTGGTCTTGGCTTCCACCTCATGGCTGGGTAGTTTGTGGCCGCCGCCACTTGCTACCTCTCGTCATCGTTGCTTGCCGAGACGTGATGTGCCCCCCTCTATCTCCTGTTTCCTTGGTGGGGGGGGGACGGAGGCCCCCAAGATATCTTCTTTCCTATCCTGGTTTTGAGAAGCGGGGGCCGGAAATAGGAAAAAGATATGATGCGAGCTAGTAACTAGTATAACGACAGAAAGCAGGGAGTGAGGGGGATATCGCCATGCCTGGATAATGTATGATGGGGGGTGGGGTGGTAGTGGGTGCTTCAGCTCCGCATATTTATTTATATTGAATATCGAGCACATTCCCAAATCCTCCTATTAGACAGGGGTGCGATGCAGACACAGGAACAGGAGCCGCTTTGCAGCTTTCCGTGCATGTCGTCAGCCCAGAGCAATTATATTAAATTATATTGAATATTGAGCACCTTCCCAAATCCTCCTATTAGACGGGGGGGTCCCCCCCGCGTCCCTGGCACAAACCTAATAGGCCTATTTTCCCCTCCCCCCCGTCTCCCCCAGATAGCCTGGGGGAATAGGCCAGCTCTGCCTCTCTGCTCGAGCTCCCGTCCCGTCCTCCATCAAATCTCGTTAGCTCTTCCGGACCTTGCCTTCATGAATTAAGTTTTGGGTCTGCAGACATTCAAGACATGTGCTCGGCCAGGAAGTTTAGTGCAGATTTGTGTGTGTGTGTGTGACAGAGTTTCAGTTGTCGGTGGTACCGCTCGTGCACAGTGCTTGCAGGGCTCCAAAGAGCCCCTGCCTTCCTCAATCCCCTTGGATCTGGCTTTCGCAGCCTCTGAATGAAGTCCGAAGATCTGATGCCGGCACAATCCCGCAAGTCTACTTCCTTCCCGCGGGCAGTGATAAACCGCCAGTGAAGTTGCACGGCGGAGGGACCAGAGCCGTAGGCAACGGCTTGGGTGTCATGTCAGAGCCATGCAGTAGTCCCCCACCACTGGGGCTTTGCTATTTCAACTGCTGGCAGCGGCATTCTGCAACAGTAGCACTTCCGTCGACCGTCACACAACTCCTCCAGCGCGTACAGGGTGCCTACGGTATGCGGCAGTGACAAGAAGGTCAAAGCATGGGTAGACTTGCTGTCGGTATGTCCAATCAGCACAAAGCCATCGCTGCAGCGCAGCTGCCACCAGCTCGTGCTGGCTGCTGCTCATGAATCGCAAAGCTTAAGCTGGACCCGAGGAGCATGACTCCTTGTCCCGTCACTGTGCGGGGTCTTGTGAAGATCAGCAGGTCTGCCGAGTCCCTGTGGTCTGGCAGTAATGTCCATCATCGCATGTCAGAGTCATAGTCGGGGCCTCGTTGCTTGGTAGTGTTATTTTGCAATGAGACTCTCAGTAAGCATCACTGCTTTCAACCTTTTCTTGCAGCGTGTCGTCTCGAAGAAGACTCATGCACAGGTTTATAGTCACATGCTGCCACGAATCTCGGCTGAGCCAAAGATTCATTTAAATTTCCGCGGATCCGTCGCATCAGCGTCGTCCTTTGCTGCCGTGAGCCCCGACGGAGCCTCTGAAGCGAGCACCTCCGCCGGCGTCGGCACCCTTGGGCCCCTTCCCAAGTGACGAAGAGCCTGCCCAAGAAGAGCGGCTCAAGGAGCGGCCGCCTGGCTGAGGTCGAGTTCTCAAGGTCAACGAAGTCCCAGTTTTTGCGCCTTTTTCGCTGGTCTCGCCTGAGAGATCCTCAGGGGTGTGCCTTGATCTTGGAGTTTCATTGATTCATTGCTGCAAGCTTGAGGATTCTGCTCTTTGCCGGTAGTACCGTTCTTGCTGCGGCAAATGGTTTCCGACCGATCCGACCGTCAAGCATGTTGGGGTCGTTTGACGGTGACCGCGCGAAAACACTGAGCAAAGGATTCGGCTTCTGCAGGGCTGCGAACAGACGCAAGGGATAATTTGGCACCCGTCCAACGTCCCGTCTTACGTGAGTTTCTACTCACATGTGGGAGTGAAGTTGGCCAAGCGCTGGGCCAACTTCGAGTTCAGTTTCTTGTTGCACGGACCTCTGCTGTCGACCCGTTCTGCAGGCGATTCTAAGTGCTAGAGGGAGCAAATCAATCACCGTGGGAATGGACGCCCCGGCATGTTTCTTTCAGTGTGGTTTCCCTTATCGCTCGTGTTGCGCCCACCAGATAGGACAAGCTTCGCATGCTTCGTCCTGATTCTCCTGGGATGTGTGGCGCTTGAATCGTATGTCGCAGGGCGTATAGAGTCCGTGTTTGACATTTGAGCCAAGGTATCCGGCCCATACAGACTCATCCTTGATAACAGTCGCACCGAAGAGCTCTGCACCCGGGCTGGAGGTTCCTAGTGATTGCGAGGGACCTTCACCGTGCAATATCGGTGGGTTCAGTCGCAGGTGAAGGATCTACAGACCGGCGAGTGGTTCAATGTCGAGGTTGCTTGATGTTTGCATCGCATCCACGACTTCAATTCCCACATGCATTTGTTCACCGCCCGAGGACTTGTTGAATGATGGTGAAGCACTTCTCTTTGTGGGAGACCCATTGGTCCCCGGCTGAGAATCTCGAGTGGTAGGGCTCACCGGTGCGGTCAGGGTATGTCCGGGCATGGCAGCTGGACGGTTCTCGGATGTTCCCGATGCCAGGACTATGCTTCTGGCCACAGGTATCCTGCTTTGATGCACAGGCAAGACTATGAGTGCTTGCCGTTGCTTTAGCGGGAAGGTTTCCATCTCTCATGCTCTGAGCAGCAACCTGTAGTTGTTTCGTTCAGAGGGCATATATCAGAAGTGATGCGTGCACTTGGCAGATGCAGATTCTTCACCGGGGCTGCGACTTGCGAGAGGATTGTCTGTGATGCTACCAGGGACTGGGTGTCGACTAGTTGTCAAGAGAGAATGATTTTCAAGCTTTATAAAGCCTTGAGCTAGGGCGTGTGATCTTTGTCGAATCATTGACGCAACAAGCTTTGAGATGCTGCAGATGTCGTCCCGCGTTTGGGTTTAATGCCGCAGCTGTCACAGGCCGGCTGTATGCAGAGGCAGCATTTGCCTCAGCCATGGGTTAGCTGGTCAGAAGATGAGGCCATATACAGCTTGTCAAGGCTCCGCCGCTTCATCGATGGAGGCAGCGCAGGGACATGCATGGAGAGCGGTGTAGGGCCTTGCTCCTGTTCTTCTGATCGCGCTCATGATGCTCTCTCCACTTGCCAGCATCGCATCTCCACGCCTTTCTTCCTGTACCCTCGGTCCGATGCGGTGGAACTCTCAGCCCGTTGGCAAGCTGTGGGACCGGCTGTTGCAGCAAAGGAGTTGAAAGTCCTGCAAACTACGCAGACGGGAACAGTTGAAGCACCAACTCTACTCCACGGAACTCTTGAAAGTGAAAGCGAGGTCTTGGCCCCAGGCTGGCTCCCGCGCTTGGCCCGCCGTGCTGCCATTTAACGTTTGATTGCCAGCTTTACCTCACAGGCTTTCTGCCTTCTCTCTTTGCATGAGCAGTCGTGTGCGCAGATCTGCTATGCCAGGTCTTTGAGGATTTGAACGGGAACGTAAACAAATGCCGCGATCGCTTTCCGTGGAAGGCCAACAGATGCCAATAGTTCAGCCTGACAGTTGCTGTGTGTTGTCCTGCATCGTTTCTTCAAAGCTATATGTAGGTTTTTCCGTTCAACCCATGTGATCATTCCAGCGCAGAAGCACACATGCTACTACAGCGACCTCGTGTACTCCGAGCAGAAAGATGCGTCGCCCTGACTGGCGAACCCTGCTTTGTCCTCAGTCGAGCAGTTCCGGCATTGACAGGGGCAGTGCTTCGGCTTCGGTCACTCTAAGTGAACGGCAGCGTCACTATCAATCGCTTAATCCAGAGCAAGTGCCGCAACAACTTCGCCACAAGCTCGAACCGTACTCCTTCCTAGTCTCCTTCCTGTGGCTGTAGTCTGAAATCATACTGTCAGCCCACCGTCTGGGATTGAGCCGAGATGCTGCTCTTGTTTTTGATCAACATGGGCTTGGTTCGAACTCGAGTGCAGTATGGTTCTCGCGAGTGCAGAATTTCAACAGCACTTGTGATGCAATTCTGCAACGCATGGAACAGGGATTGCAGTCATGGTCACATGATACAGCGAAACAGCATTTTGTACATGTCTGCAGCGTGTTTCTGTACTGAGTGCTTGGCAAGGTTTTGAAAGAATTGCATCCGGCGTCACCATGCAGGCGGGTCGAGAGTGGCATGAAGCGAACTTTCCGGAAACTCGGACCTGGCAGCTGCGCGGAGTGTTGCGACGCTCAGGGCCGAGCCATCGACAAGACAACCAAGGTCGAAGGGATATGTGTTCTTGCTGTCGTGTCCGTACCTGGTCAGAGTCTACCCACAACCCCCACCCCCTCAGGGATTTCTTTCCTTTTGCTCCCTGCGTTTGACCATCGGCACTAACCGGCAAAGACAAGTTCAAGGAACCTGCTTGTAGGCCGTCCCGTGGCAGGATCTGCGCGCGCTCTTCGGCCCTGAACGGACACGTCAAGCTTGATGTGGGTGAGTGCCGAGCATGAGCCGTGACCGCAAGGTCTCAGATCTCAGATGGTCAAGACGACCCTGCTGCAAGAGCATTGAGGGGCACAGCACCCCCGCAAACTTATCACATCATCACCACCACCATCATCATCGCCGCATCACTGCCATCGCCATCGCTACCATCAGCACCATGAGAGTTATCATCATCCCAGATGTACAAAATGGCAAGATGCATGAAATCGGGCAGGTTGCAATCATAGATGAGGAACATCACTGTCACACCATCATGGCCATCAGACGTTTGTTGCCAGCATCACCATCGCTGCCACCTTGTTGACGAACAGGCGATCTAGTAAATCCAGCGGTTGTCCGCAGAGCAGCTTTCCTTCGGAGCACGCTCTGCATTTGCCAGAAAAGCCATTGCTTGCTCACTGCCAGTACTGCCGGGGCACTGCCGTGTTGCGCGACGTGCTGGCCCGTTTGGAGGAAAGGGCGAGGGAAAGGGCGGTGGGAAGCCTGGAAAGGGCGAAGCTCGGAAAGGATCCGGGCACGAAGGTCTTGTCCTAAGGCGTTGTCAATGTGTCCGTGACATGAATGTTGCGCGTCGTGCTGCGCCTCTTGGCCTGTTCTCAGGTGGTAAGGGTGGAAACGGTGGTAAAGCTGGGAAAGTGGCTTGCAAAGCAACTCGGCGTTCGAAAATGAGAGGCTGGAAACGCTGGTCAAATTCATCTCCCATCAGGTGCCACAAATCCGCAAACCGCAGCTCGACGACAGCGACAGCGACGAGGAAGAGGAAGAAGAAGATGAAGTGCCGACCAAGAAGGCCATGTTGGTAGTACAGCTGCCCGAGAAGATAGTCTCCAGCTTAGCCAGCTCGGCCCAGGCACCTGCGGCAAAAGGACAGCCGCAGGAGCATTGAGAAAGTTGTCGGGGTGGTAGACGAGAGATGCCGTCAAACTGAATGGACAAGGAAGCTTTGTCGGAAGAGATGAAGCAGATGGCGGCTCTCGGGTTGCCAGTGAGCTTTACAGCCAGTCAGAACGCAGGAGAAGTCCTGGAGTGCTCGACTTGTTTCCCTGTTATTGCATTACATTGATCATTACATGCGCACTCTCTGACTCGTTCGATTTGTGGCCCGCTGCAATTCGACATTGGCGAAGGAGGAGACGATTCAGAAGAAGAGGACTGCACGCATGACAGCACACTGAGCCACCTCATTGGCCCCATACCTAACATGTCAGTGCTGCCGGTTTTCACTGCGCTAATGTGAACGATTGTGAGACGAGGAGGAAGAGGAGGAGGGAGACGATGACTGAGGTAGGGTGAGCTCAAGCTCATCATGCACAGATGTGCTTGTGCCTGCGCGGCAAGAAAGGAGATTTGTGCGGAACTTCTGTGGAGCTCAATTGAAGCATCTACGACATACGGCAATCGCCAGCGAAATTGGAGATCTTCATGGAACCGTACCTTTTGAGCACCTTTGGGCTCCAATCATAGCCCCGAAGCGGAAAACATCGTTGCCGCATGTGTAGAACCCACACACCTCGTCACTGCACGTTTATCCACTGTAATCAGACAGTGCGCAGCTCTCAATTTCGCGCTGCTGACATGTCTGCATCGCAAATCCAGGACGCCTTGGTCTCAGACGCTCTGATATCCTTGAGCTTGCCCGACTGCAGGAGCTGTTCAAGAAGTTCGACAAAGATGGGAATGGGAGGCATCGGGCATGAACAACGTTGAATGCCGTACACTATAGTAATAGTTGTCGTGACCGTCAACTCTTTTGCCAGGATATCAGCATCCGAGCTGCAGAATGTGCTCACGTGGATCAACAAGGACATCACAGTCGCTGAAATCGGGCAAATCCTTCGTGAAGTCGACACCAACAATGATGGTACCTTGGTGACTGTACAATATTTTTCTGCCAGCAGTTGCTTAGCAAACTTGCAGACTCTATACTCGAGGGTATGTGTATGCCTAAGTATGCATGTGCGTGTACGTAAATATAAATATAGATAAATAAATAAGTATAAATGTATGTATGTATGTATGTATGTATTCATGTATTCACACATACCTAATGTATTGTATATGTAAGCATATGTACACACATACTCGGATGGACCCGGGAAGGCAGGGCCAACATGACCGCCAATAAGAGACTTCGGTGTTTTCGTCTTTAATGTGTCAACTTCTGTGTTTGCTTTTTGCCCTCCCAATCCCCACGCCTTTTGCCGCCTGCCCTTTGTCTTGTGTCTGCTTGTTGCCTACCGACCCGCCTTACTTTGCGATGTTTCTTTGCGTTCATTTATTTAATGCCTCTCCTGATCCTTGACACGGGTTCACTTCCTCGTCAACTACATGTATGTTGTAGCAGTTCCCCACCGGACCTGGCACGCTTCCAAGCTCCAGGGAAGCATCTGAAGGGTTGAGCATCCGAACTGGGGTTTGCTTTTCGGAGCCGTGCTACAACACATCAACTGGGCGAATGCCGACATTGTTTGCATTGTTTGGGTCATGCATTGAAGCCCGAAGTTGGCATTTGACATCTCCTGATTGGCTATATCTCTATTCGCACCGGCTCGCTCTGCATCGCCGCGATGCCGACGCTCCGGGGCCCGAGGCGGCATGATTGCGGCAGCGTAATGCACGTCCTGCATCGGACCGGTTATACCAGTACGCTTTCATGCATGTTCTTGCGCTGATTGAACTCCATCGTACCTGATTACTTTGTCCTGAATTGAAATTCCGCCGGGCTGGTGATCTGCGAAAGCCCGCGTAGCAGGACTTGAGTCTTGTCTTGCGTTTAGCACAGAGGCAGTCCAAGGCCAGATACCAGAGTTTTGTCGCAAAGCCAATGCAGCTGGGTAGGTAGCTATAGAATTCATCGGCGGCTGCCAACTCTGTCTTGCACAATGTGTTCGATGTTTGCAAGCGTGCCTTGCGAGCACTCTGACCGATTACGACGTAATTCAACCCTCCTCCTCCTCCTCCTCCTCCTCCTCCTCGTACTACTATTACTACGACGACGACTACTACTACTATCACTACCACTGCTGCTGCTGCTGCTACTAGGATTGTCCCTGGGGGTTCTCCGGG